TGGAGGCGGACTCGAAGGATAAGTGCGGCCAGACACCACTGTCGCGTGCTGCTTTGAATGGATATGAAGCGGTGGTGAAACTGCTACTGTGGCGAGATGATGTGGAGGCGGACTCGAAGGATAATGAGGGTCGGACACCGCTATCGTACGCAGCCTGGGATGGATGTGAAGCGGTGGTGAAGCTGCTGTTGGAGCGAGACGATGTGGAGGCCGACTGGAAAGATAATGATGGCAGGACACCACTATCATTTGCAGCTGGGGGTGGACATGAAGCGGTGGTGAAGCTACTGGTTGAGCGAGATGATGTGGAGGCAGACTCGAAGAATAAGTACGGTCGGACACCACTGTCTTATGCAGCTGGGTCACTGTCTTTTGCAACTGAGTATGAACGTGAAGCGGTGGTGAAGCTACTGGTTGAGCGAGATGATGTGGAGGTGGACTCGATGGACAATAATGATCGGACACCATTATTATGGGCAGCTCGGTATGGAGATGAAGCGATGGTGGAGCTTCTCAAATCCCTGTCATAAATACCCAGCAGAAATCCAAGCAAATATGCGAGAGGGTGATCAGGCTCCAGAATAGCAGAGATGATACCTGACGTAACGTTCCAAGTGAAAAGCGATGTAGGCTTATGGCTTAGCGGAGAGACACAACCACTCTGAGGATATTGCTAATCCGCGGAGGTCTCTTACCCTTAAAGGAAGGACTGTGTGTGTATATGTTACGGCCGTGGCTCGTGACTTGCACGCTATCCACTATCCCCGATCGGGAAAAAGGACTATCACAATAAGCAAGCCCGCAATGAAATGTCCTCATTCACCGCAATAAGACCATGTCTTGCGAGGGTGAATAGTCTTGTACTGTCGTTCGATTATGACCAGTCATGCCCATATAAATGGGGACCGGCAAGAAACCGCGGGTGCGCGGTTAGCACTTCGCCGAACCCGCTCAATTCCACGGGAGAAAAAGAGTCACAAAAAGTGGTAAATCAAAATGGCGGGAGGAGTTTCGATTTGCGAATGCTTTGGTGAATTACGAGTTCTGTATCTGATGGACACGCTTGGATACCGCAAGAGAGGTCTTACGACTTCATACATATTTGCCTAAAGTGGACTATTGTGGACTAAGATAAAGAGAAGCAAAAGATATATTTTTTAAGTATCAGCAGGAGTAAGGAAGATCATGACCATAAGCAACTGCTTCCTCTGCCCAAATTCATCTTGGGACGCGTTGCTTCGCGTAGCAGTCCGCCGCGAACCATAAGGAAAAACTACAATGCAGACCTACAACTCGTACGGTGACTCCATCAGCCCGCCTCCTGGGCATGCGGACAGAAAACGAGCCCCATCCACCATAGCACCATCCCAAATGGAAGAGTCACTCATATCTGCCGAATGGAAGGGCAGCCGAGTCGTATCGACGTATGCAGGGCCGGCGAGCCCCTTGCCACCCGATGAGGGATAGACACGACGCATTAGAAACTGCTGATTCCGGTATCGATCACCGTGGGAGAAGTCCCCAAACGCGAGGACCTGCAGAGCAGGCAGTCCGTCGGGGCCGAATGCCCATTCAGCAAACGACACGAGCTCCTCGGCCTCTGCAATGGCCGCAGAAGACGCAAGAACCGCCTGCTGCGGGTCCATGTATTCGAATTGTGACCTGGCAAAATACTCATCGAAAATAGCACCGTAGCTGTGGGTATCATTGGAAGCATTCTGGTTCACGGAACCCCAGCACGAACGTGGATGCCGCGGATACCTTTTACGCGTCTCACGTAGAAAGGTGGTACTTTCTCGTGGGATGTCTCGATGGATTCGCTCGAGGCCGCTGAACCGTAGATGTAAAATCTGAAGCTTGGAATGCTTCGCCGTAGGTCGAAGGCACCGCCGCTGTTTCTATTAGTATGCACACGTCAACTGGACCGAGGAAAACTTACAGCCGCAGATGGACTAGCACACAGAGCTACAGCAGACACCTGGCCTAGGTCTACAATGGCAGACAAGTTTGTAATCCACGCCGGTGACACATCCCGGTCATCCTCAAATAAGCCATCAGCATCGATGGGAGCGAGTTGACGCTCATGGTAGACAAGGCTTTTCAACGTGGACTGGTGGTGTCCGATGGCGTCCTGGATGTGGGATTTTGATGCCGGGAAATTGGACAACCTCAGATGTAGATGCTGCAGCCCACGAAATGAACATAAGAATCGCACAACAGCAGAAAGGCTACGTCCTTCGCCTGGCTCGTGCAGCAGGTAATCGAAAGAAAATTCAAAATGCGTCAGTCGGAGCGGTTTTTGTGACCGAGACAGTAATTGCACGAGACGCAGCTGATTCGGGCAGTCGCGCAGCGTAAGCGCTCGCAGGGAACAGAATATCGCATCGTGCTCTGATAAGATATCTGGAGGCAGGGTCACCTTTGACAGTGACAGCGTGGACAGAGCGGGAGGAGCTGTCAGATTCCCGATCCCCGTATCCCCGTTCCTTGTGTCGCCGGTACCTATATTTCCGGCCTCGAGCTCCGATTGCTGAAGCCCAAGGCTCTCCCAGCACAGAGCACGGGCAAAAGCTGATGGAACGAAGCCGACGGACAGCTGATCCAGGCGGCTCCAGTTCCGACGGATGCACTGTCGCAACAAATCAACCTCGGACGGATGCTGGAGTCCTTCCCACTCAAACGCCGTCAGACAGGATAGCCTAGACACTCCGTCCAAGCGGTGCAATGTTTCAGGACAGGTGCCGTCAGTGACGAGTGAGAGACGAGCGAGGCGCTGTTGGTACCGACTGAGATAGCCTTCTTGGTCGAGAACTCCTACTGGAACACATGTCCCTAGGCGCCATCTATTGCTAGTCAATCAGAGGTCTAGATAGATAGATACCGGCCTATACGAACTCAAACGTGCTCAGTCTATTCGGCTTCAGGTGGGTGAATATCAGCTGCAATTGATCCTTCACGTCATCTAGGAATTGCCGGTGTGCCGTCGCCTCGTCCGAGGCTCCCAGGGTAGCCGGGGACTCCGGCAGCCCCGCCGCACGAAAGATGTTGTAGTATGCACATCGATTAAACCGAACAAGGTGGAATGGAGCCTTGATCTGTAGGTGCCGCGCGTGTTGGAGATAGTCCGCGGCCCGTGAAGGACCGAAACGGAGAAAGAAGGGCTCGACATTCAACACATTCAGCGCCCATTCACTTGCTGCACAGAATGAAATGGTACGGTATATCCGGGGAACCAAAACTGCATACAATCTGGACGAGACTCGGCTGAGAACGCGCAGGGTGGTAGCTGATAACTGGTAGGCGGTCAGTACCAGGACCAAAGCAAACACACTGGAACTCACCCAATCTGCGATCAACATCAGAATCTCACACGGCAAGGTGTTCAGCATTGTAGTCTGTGCTCACTTCATTAAAATCGGTCTGGACAGCAAGAGGCTTATAAGCACGCATCTATCTGAGCACCCAGTCAAGTTGCCCAGACATTGCGCAGAGGACGTTCAATATTCGCAGGCACGCATCATCGCGCTGGATGGTAAGCTCGTTCGACCAGCCAATGATAAACGGGCTCAGCGCCGTTTCTGTAACCGCTCTTCACCCAGGCCACCAAGTCTTGTGGAGCGCATTGCCAAGCTCAATGGTCGTCCTACATGAACGGCAAACAATCAACTGACCACAACATGGTGTATCTTAACCGAAATTGGCAACCACAAGATAAAAATCTGATAGACCGAGGAGTCGCTGTCCGATACAAAATAATAAGAACGTTCAAAGGGCAGAACTGGTCGGATAAACATGTCGGTGCACGGTTCATGTGGGGCAACGGAACAGGTCGCGGTTGAAACGGTCGATCCCGGTTGAACGGTTATCAATGTGGTTCAACTGTAAAACACAACCGATTGCACAAGTTTACCCAAGGCCATTCCATTTCCTACGAAATAGGCGACAGTAGTACGGTCGAGCAGTTGACCGGGTCCTGACATCCATCTTTATACCTCAGTGTCATTAGAACGTTGCTTAGGCAGAAAATGGAAACAGAATTTGGCCTCTTACCTTGGTACAATTTTAGTATCGAGCGTCGACTACTACTTCGCAAGTTTTGTCACAAGACTAAGGCACCTGGTAGTATGGTATATTGTCACGATTTGTACTGTATCCGGCCAATTGGAGATATCAATGACTCTGTATTGCATTATCCCTATTTCCTGCTTTTTGTAAGGCAATTTAAATTACATTTGCGGGTTCAGGGACTACTGTATTTCCGAAGCCTTCGGATCATCTATAGAACCGGTTTCATGCAGTATTCGTAAGCCCAATGCTTAATATTTGCGGCATCTAGTTAGTTAGCTAGCCATGTATGACTGACGTTTCAGGCATCTATACTGATACCTCGGGAATAAATCAGATCAACATTTAACTTAATGAGATTAAGCAAGAACAGAGCTTTCACTCCTTAAATAGCAGGATCCCAACATAATAGGCTACATTATGAGGGATCAGACCTAAACAACCTCTTTGAATCAATACAATACCTACTTCCAATATATCATACACCATCAATCTCAGTTACTATCTATAAGGCGGTTGGTTGACCTGGCAAAAGCCACTCACGTCTACTGTCGTGAAATAGGAAGATATTACCACCGAAGCGAGGGAGAAGAATATCATGCCAAAACTATACAAGCAGTACGAAAATCTCTAAAAAATCACTTCGTCTGTAAACTCTGCGGGCCAGCGATATGTATACAGAATGCAGTCGATCCAAGGGACCTAAGATCTCGGCCTTCGCGGCACGTTGTAATCAAGTAAAGAGGGTGGACACTACCGGCTCCAATATCGGGGGATGTAACCATTTCTATGAACAATGGACGGAATCCAAACCAAGGAGCGAGATGAGAGGGTGATGATCAGATATTTTGCTCCTGCCATTTCATCCTGGCCCCGGTATTTGAGCGATCACCCCACGTTGTAGTCGGTCACACCGTCTCTGGAATCGATGAAGCTCATGCTGCCATTTGAAGTACTGCAGATAAGGAAATCCTCGAATAAGTGACGGCGCTGTAGACAAGGACTAAATGCATCACATAGAGACTGGGCCGCCAGCCATTCACCGCCCCAATTCTCTCTAACGGACGAAGCAGATAGAACGCAGCACCAAGAGAATTTCCAATGGCGACTCGACTGAAGTGTACCGCCACTGCAGGTGGGCTCTGAAACGTCCCGGTCAGAGCATAAATAGTTGGTATGAGCGAAAGTAAACCCAGTGAAACGCAGCTGTACGGAAACCGGTATTGAACCCCACAAACACTGGGATCGGAGACCACAAACTCCACCAGGATGCCGACAGCAACGACGGTAAAGGCAGCTAGGTATCCGAGCTGGAGGCAGGGTTCGGTGCGGAACAGCACAACCACCGAAGGAAGGGTGGCCGCCCAGATCAGGACTAAAGTGGCTCCAGGCTCCAGCTTTTGCCACTCTGCCGCATCATTGCCCCCGAAAGCGTCTACAAAGCGGTAGAAGAGGCTGGACAAGCACCAGAAGATGACACCTGCGCAAAAGGCTAGCACGGACAGGGAGTCGAGAATACCTCCGGGGGTGGAGGGGAAATGGAAGAGCAGAAATTGAATCACAAAAAGGTAAAAGTAAAGCAATCCAAAGACATTAATTATGGTGAGGATTGCGAAATCGTGCAGGGACTGCGCTTTTGGGTCAGCCATTTGGGTCGTGGGTCGCGTGATATTGGAGCGACGACTTGGGACAAGCTGGGCTTTTAAGCTGAATAGCATGAGCGAAGCAGCTGTTGGATCAGATGCCGTCTCGATCAGTGCACATTGTCTCGGATAAAACAACGCAACTGAGTAGGAGAATGTCAGAGGGGAAAGGGTAAGATATTGTGCAATGGTTAACAAATGGCATTCACTAATGGATTTTAGAAAGGACGGTTAAAAACGGTTAAGAAAGGGAGGCTGAGAAGGATGTCCAGCTCATTTGAACATGCTTTGAATACTTGTGCCCTGTTCGGGCGGGCATCAACTATGTGGCGGTCCAAGTTAGCTTTTTCTCAGATTGACCACTGGCTCATCCCTGTCTATCCCGTAGTAACTGACACAGCAACTTGCGTCTCATGTCGAAATAATTAAATTGGATCCACCCGACCTAAAAGATTTCTTAAATGTTGATCTAGCAAAGCTGGCCAACACGGCCTGTCCTGCCACTCTCAATTCTACGGTTAAAGATCCTGCCACTTTTGCTTCAGCTATTCATTCGGGCGAACACAATGGAAGTCTTCACCGGATATGTCTAAAAATCCAAAACTTCTTGACCGGTTGTAAAGAACTCATTTATGAGGGGAGCTTAGTTCTCGCCTGGTTGTCGCCGAGCCCTGCATCTCCGTAGCGAGCTTTTCCCGCAATCAAGCTCTTGTAGGTGGACTTACAGTATAAATCATCACCGCTGCGGGAAATAGCAGCTATATTCCCACCCAAGTGTTAAGCAAAGCATATCTCAATGGAGGAAATCGTCAATATTGTTCGAGAGATTGGCCGACAACAGGGAGAAAATGTATACTTTCGAGCCTGCTACACCCTTTTCAAACACCTACAGGACAAGACCCAGCAAGCTTCTGAGGAGCTAATTCACTTACACCAATCCGGCGACTTTGGCTCATCGGATGATGAGTTTTACCCGGTCTATCAAATTGCGCAAGAGCTTCAAGCCTCCGTGCATAACCTGGCTGACCAGGCGCGTAAGGCGCAGTTGGCCTGTGAAGAATTTTGCGAGTTGGACTCTCGCTACTCGGCCTGTGAAACTTTCAAATTTGCCGATAGGGTACAAGCACCTCGAAAGGTCGTGAAGCATGCTTACCAGGGTGTTTGCGATAGCCCACGGTCGATGCAATTTATAATGGTACCAGTGGATGATCATCTGGGTGACTGTACGATAGCTTCGAAGAGCATGTCTGAATTCCTGCAACACAGCAGAATACCTGATTCATCAAAAGATCAAGCACGAAGGCCGACAGAGTCGTCCACTTCGTAAAGCACAGACAATCTCATCAGGGGTAATAAAGCTTTGCCCGCAATTACAGTACAAGCCTATTACAAATGGATGGAAACCAATTCAAAATACCACTTTTTTCCCTATCATTCTTTCTCGAAGTCGATTCTGGAAACGGTAGTCTATCTAGTCTAACCCATGTATTGTTGTCTATCCTACAAGGCGGATCGAAATAAGTCTCAACGTTTTGTTCTCTTTGAATGGTTCTCGAATGTCATATTATAGTGACTCCAGACAGACCCTTGCTCACAACCCTTTTCCTATTCGACATAGCGAGATGGACTAGTCCAGACGTAGATTGAAGCGGGCCTTACCAAGACTGAAGAACTGAAGAGAATAAAGCGGTGAAACTGATTTCAAGGGGACCTGTAACTACTCCGCATTGTACTACTGCATATCCGCATCAAATACAGCAGCAAAACATTTCTATCAGCCATGTCAAAAGGGCTGCAAAGGAAAATGTCACTGCTAGCCAGGTTGCAGCGAACGAATGCGCCCCAAAACTTGCATCTGCCCCCAGAGGATGAAGGATACTCTGTATGGCACCCGTAATCAACCCGTAGATTACCGTAACCCCGATGGATGCACTGGTGACAAAAATAGCGGCAGACTCAGCAATGGTCAGCTTGTGTATATAGAATCAATGTGCCAGGGCCTTACCAACGAAGAGAGGATAAGCAATACTTTTCCTCGAGAAAAATACATTGTGGTGACACCAAAAATAACAGCCATACATGTGGAAACAAATCCCAGGATGTAAGCTGAAACTGACCACCGGGAAACATCACGATATCCAGCAAGGACCTTGTTATTTTCGTCTGGTAGTACCTCATTGATGCCTGAGGAAACTGAGCCAAAAATGCTTAACAAGTCAAATGAGAAAGAGGTACTGGGCTGCGAGCAATTGGAATACGATGACTCTTCCTTCTGTCCTTGGCAATAACCCCAAAGCCCAACAGAATAAAAACCAGGAAGGTGTGAGCTGATCTCGTCGGACAATGATTGGACCTTATCAGTGACCTGGCTTACTGCAGTCTCTGCGGCGGCCGAGGCATAAATGACTGCAGTTGAAGCACTGTTCACAACACCGTTGGCCTCACTACTGGCTTTATTTGCAACATCGGATCCGTCCACCCCGGCAATACTGGGGGAACGACGTAGATGAAGGTTCCCTAGTTCTGGGAAATTGGTTAAATTCACCTATGGATTATGGACTTCATATTAGCTTAGTGTGTTCCTTAGGTTTATGGTATATTAGCTTGCCTTTAAGAAATGCAATCCAGTGGGGGAAGAGGCCGATGTGCATCCAACAAAGACAACAGCGAGGCAGGCCAAGGCCGATATCGAGAAAGCCAAGGGAAGTAGCTTTCCTACGTGCCGAAGCATTCTATGTATGCTCTATTGGGGTGTTTGGAAGAAGATATGAGTGTCCTGGTAAGGGTCCCTTGATGAAAGCCCTTCACGAGCATGTAGAAACCATGTGATCTTTATAGAAGCGATAGCCTGTATGTTAAAGTCAGACATATAATACCAAGATGAACCGAGTCAGGAGCCGTCGTTCCATGTACCCATTAAAGTTCAAGTGGCATAGGCATTATTGAGTGCTGTTCGCGGTTGACAACACAACCCTCAAATGTTTCGTTTCAGCTAAATTTGGTTTAACGTGATGGACCTGACCAAGTTACTGACATTACATTATAGTAAAATCTATTGGAACGGTTGATTCAACCCCTAACAGTGAGCGAACATTAGAGGGAATAAGGCCTGATTTAAGATCAAGTTAGCCGGAGCGACGGAAATTGACGCCCTCAGTTTTGTATAGAGAAGATTAACCACCACTTCGGCGTCTATAATGGAATGTGTACCATCATGGGCCTCAAGTTGATGCCGGCTACGGCATATCAGTCGAAAAGGCAAAATATGAAATTGGCTCTCTCCTCCAGGACATTTAAATAGTCCCGCTCTCTCGGCAGACAAGCTCAAACATACCGCGCGCGTTGCATCAGAAAATGACGCGCTTATCTCAAGCTCAAGCGGAAGAAGCCGAGGGCAGACTGTTCACCTATCGTAAAGAACATTTCAAGATGGCCGCACGTGTTGACATTTCTCGTCTTATATTCGACAAAAACTTCAAGCGGCAAATGAGCAACCGCCAGAATATCACCCGACTTGAGCGAATTATGGATACTGAAGGGTGCTATCGCCTGATGGAAGAATACCATGTCCCTGTTTTGGTTCCTGGAAGTGATTGGGAACGTTACGTCAGGCCACGACTGGTCGATGGACAAATCCATCAATTGGATGTCGATATCGACTATCAGCTGCGCGCACAGGATCACGAAAATTTGATTATCGCGGCAAGGAACAAGCTCAGTCCGAGCAATTCATGGTGGATTGTGGATGTTTACGTCACAGACCAGATAGGTGCGTAAAGTAGTTCGCTTTCCCCCGGCATGTATATCCCTGATGTTTTCAAGCTAGTGAAGATCCCTTACAAGAAGAATTCATCCGGTCTCTTCGAGAGCACTTCCCGAATGATCAAACACCTCCGGATGGGCTAATCTATCAACGAATAAGGTATTATGAAGGATATCTCGATGGCCCTGTAAACAGAATAGCAGCAAACCATTGGTGGGCTGCTCTAGAAAGGGTTTCTGGAAGCAAAAAGGGAAAGTATTTGCGAGCTTTCTTCAAACATCCGACAATGCCCCAAGCCTTCGATGCTCTGCTCCCTATAGCGGGTATTTGGGAAGGCATGCGAATTGGACTACTCCATAAATTGGTGGCAATGCGTTGTGATGAGGTAAGTTACTTGCGTCCATTTGAATGCCCAAAATGTCATGCTCAGACGGCTAAGTGAAAGCATCAGCCTCTTCTGTGCTATTTAAATCACATAAAGAATACGTTCTTCGGCTTAATGGGAAACAGGCTTGACCTTTTGGCACGATTAGACGGTGTGACTATCCAACTATTAAAATCGCGTGCGCCCAAAGTCTCTGCTCGGGACTTGAAGTTTTTGAAGGAACGAATGTTAAAGGAAGAATTGTTCCCTGATGTTGAACATGCTCAGGACCGCTCTGGAATTTGGGAACGATTACAAGAGATTCAGTACCCCATACCGACGCTGGAGACATTTTTCAAAGACAGGCTCACCCTGGAGGTTAGCCGGAGTGTACTACAGCAACTCTACATTTCTGATCCCCATCGGAAGATAACTATCGACGAAGGACTAGGGGAACAATATAACACTAGTGTCCCTGTCATGACTTCAAATCGTCAGCATGGAATACGGGAGGACCTTTATGATTTCTGGCGTTTCAGCTTCCAGTACGGATTCGAAATGACGAATCACGAGCGCCGCGTGCCGCGGACAAAATCTGGCACGCAACGCGCGGCGACACCTGTTGAAGGACTTCACACGCCTGAACGGGGAATTCTTTGGCAACACCTCCTCTGGCTTGCCAGGGAAAAAGGATTTAGCACCCCTTTTGCGGATGGACCCCAGGCTGAGCCGGTTGAATTACCTCCCCTCACACCATGTGACTTTCCAGTAAGTCTAGAAGAAGACCTACCGGTAGAAAGACGATATGGAAAGCCATATACGGACTCAGTGGAGGCAGATCGGTTTGCACTTTCGCGGGAGGTATTGGAACAGCCCTGGAGCTCTCCCCGAGTTACTGCAGGATTTGCTCGGCGATCGGTGTTTTTGGCATATTTCCGCTATCTCAAAAATATTCCTGACAGTCAATTCGTTCGTCCAGTTGAAACCAACGATACGCTTTCTCAATCTTCTCTCTGGAACCCGAACTTTGACAACATGATCCAAAACACGATAATTCCACCAGCAGAAAATGTAGCAACCATGTTCCCCGTCTGTTCTACTCCGCAGTTTGATCCCACATTGGTTGCTCCAGCTATGGATATTCAGCCATCGAGCTGCTTTAACATGAAATTCATCATTCCTGGCGAGCCTGATAAAATCGTGCCGCTACCAAATATTCAATCGGCTTTGAATACGTTCTTTGAAGGGTTTTCCCAAAATCATTTCTATATATATTCTAGCGATAATCCAACACGGGGCATCAACGGGAGAGATTGCTATTCGCTATATTTGGGGAACCCGTTCCTACTTTTGCACGCCGAGTATATAGGTGAGGATCTTTCCCAAACGGTATTTCACGGGTCGACCGACCAAAACGAAGGAAGAAGGAGCAAAAAGCGACGTATGAACGGACAACATGAAATTATTGGTGCCAAAGAATGGTTGAACACGAGCCTGAAGGAGTTGGCCCAAGGAAATCTCGCATATCAAGCCGAGATGGATCTTCCGGGGGATGAAGATAATATAGAATAATTATATTTTGGACGACCGAACAAATAAAATCGTGAACATTGATTCGATCCGCCCTGTAGTATCGTATAGCGATGACCTACCGGACCCTTCTACCGATTGCGCCAGAGGTGAGGACCGCCACATTCCAAGACGACCCAGAGAGCTAACTTAGATGGCGATGATGCATGTAGATCGGAGTGTCTGTGGTCAAACCGAAGCTAGCCCTGCTATACAAATGCACCTATTATAAAATACTTGGCAAAATGCAATGCGGTGGACAAAATGCCTGCGCAACATTTAAGAAGAGTTTAATGCAGCTGCAATATATTCCTAACGCCAACGAGGTGGATTCTGCAGTAAACCCTGGAACCTACCAGCAAACGCCATCGGAGCACGGCGAGCGTAGTGTTTACTTTAGAGGCATCAAAAACCTCAAGGAAAACTGTCAATCGTTAATCCCCAACTCCAATGATTTCCCAAAATTTCTCGAGATGTTTCAGCGTGCAAGTGTACGCCATCCTTTATCCACCAGAAAGTTTAATGCTAGTGTTACCAGTTTTACTAGGAGTCTGTGATAATTACCAAGTTGAAAAGCGTTATGAATAATAAATCCGGTGATTCGCTAAAAGAGAGCAGAATTGGGGATTCGTTCTTACAGGTTAGAGCTTCAGATTTTTACGATGTCTAGCTATAAATATGAATGCCGTCAAGCAAAGTCGACATACTTTATCCTTCTTATGTGATGATCCTTTCAGTTAGATGAAAACCAGTGCCAAGCATATGGTTGCGTGTCCTCACTTTACTTGCACTGTTTTCATTGTTTGTATCTTCTCGAAGAGAACCAACTAGTCTTAGTCTAGATCCACCTGAACATTCGTTTGTTCCTTCTAAGTCGTACAGATATCAATTCCTTCTAGATCGTCTGCCCACCAAGTCTGATGTAGTAATTGGTATCCTTTGTTGCATTGTTTACAATACCAAAGGTGTAATAATTCGCGATCTGGCAGGATTCGAACAAATTTTTCGCCGTCGGAACAAGGTCGTCGCACTTAACGACAACTTGTTCGGTGTTCTGAAGGCTGACGTCAGCTAATATGCGTAAAAAGGAATATTGGTTATCGTACGTAATTGCAAAAGAATAGACCAGACTGATTCAGGTAAGAAACCCGAGAGCAACTGTTTGAATCTGCAACACACATTTTTTCCCCTTCATCTCGAAGATGCTGAATGTTTTCTGCAGTGGGACCTACGTATGCGATTCCATGCGTAAAGTCACATTCTAGTAGAGACTGAACGGAGTAAGCAAATCATCCATAAGGGGAGTTGACTGAATAAGATACGTCTCGTTTTTTGGAGGCAAACCCTTTTGGAAGGGCCGGTGCCGGGAAGCTTGGGGATTCTAAAATCTGTTCTTTCCTTTTAGTGTCACAATCATAGCCTAATGTTCTACACTGATACCTCTCTTGCAAGCACGCCGTTTTGGGTGCTGTTCGGCTGAAGTGTTGGACTCCCGACCTATGGCAAATCATTAATAAATACATTCGTCTCCATTAAAGTGTCACTAACTGCTTTCAATAGAAGCACGCAGAATATGAGAAGGTTATGTGAAAGGTTCATAATGACGGAGAAGCTTGCGAACACGCTTACACGGGGATCTCTGGTAGATTTTATAAGACTTTGGTGTCTGTAAGGTTATTTCTAGTACTATGCTAGGATAAGGTCTCCTAGATTGAAATCTGATAGCAGAGGTGCAAAGAAACGGAGGTTGGTCGACCTAAATTTCCATGGTATGTTTCTGAGGGTATCCAGGTTACATTCTAGGGCTTATTTTGATGGTCTAGAGTCGTCGCGGTGGTCACCTCATAAAAGGCAGCACCATCTACAAAGGAAGATAAAGAGAAACAACAGCCCAGCACTCAACAAAATAGCCTTGTAACACGAGGGCCACAGTCTCCGCATCTCTCTTATTCATTTTTTGGTCTTGACCGGATTAGCGGATTTTGGGGTCTTGTGTGCAAACACCGGGGCTTCTGATGGTAGCTAGGCCGTAAGAGAAATAGTGGCAATTAGGTTAACTTATAAGAAGACTTGAATACCTCCAGTATTTGACGTTTGACGTTGAAAGTGAAGACCCAATACCATTCCAATATTCAACAATAACACTTTGGACATGTATGGTCGCCTTTTACTTATGGCATGCGCTACTATAGCAAGTGCGAAATTCCACATCAATGAGTTCGCTGAAAAAACTTGCGATCTGCTCGATATCTGGAATCGGAACGCCAACACCAGCAGCTCAGTCCAATACACCCAGGACAATAAAGTGCACTCATCCTTACTGTCCAATGACTGCCAAGGCGAGCTTAAGTCAGTCCTAGTAAAATGTGAGTATGCGTTCCATGCAACAAGAAGTATCATCTCTAATAATACCAGGTTTAGACAGTTCAGGCCTCAAATGCAACGACATAATCCTCTCGACTGCTAACGAACCGCCCGCGTATAAATCTATACCTGGAGGCCCTTTGGCGAAGAGATTACAATCGGATCAATCGCACTCTGAGAGCTGTCCATACGCTGTGTACGACTTTCCTATCGCAATGAGCCCAGAAATTGCTAGCAGTCCGAGCACCACCTCCGGTACATTGGACTTGACCGAGTTGATGACTTCAACAATCGTTGGCGAAACAACCCTTGGCCCTGGTGGCAAGTCAAGTACTATGTATACACTTGCAACGGGTTTAATTGGGAGCTTAGAATCGTTCAGCAGCTATAGCCAGACCCGTGGTACAGTGGAAGCTATGCAAACAGTAACTGGTCGTATTTGCCTGATCAAGTAAGATTCTTTGTTTTGACAAGACAAGTCCAGATATATTAACTACAACATTATCAGGGAATCGGAATATTACGCAGCCGGCAAAGGCGGCAAATGTAGGTGCTCTGACGGCGAGACAGTTGATTATTCCGTGGGTGCATGCGAGATTGAATTTTGAAACGTAGTCTATTCTAGTACGTGTTTACTTGAAATTAGATTTAACCCAAATTTTCATTATTTCTCCGAATGCTCCGCTACTGAAAGCGTTGTAGGAACTGTTTACTTTTGTGTGACCAGGCGTGTTCCTTGGAACTACGTAGCTTATAGCGGCAACTACCGCCAGTGCCATGGAGAGCTTCCACTAGTTACTTTGCTGTGATAAAATTATATCATGACGCGTCTTAAGGTGGATCCAGGAGCCTATTTACTGCGCGTGCAATTGTATCGTCGGACCCCATTAAAGTAGAAAACACTTCGTAAACTTCCACACCAATCGAACAGATTTTACCATACTTCTCTTCAGTAACCGGTAGAGAATTACGGGACCTACTAGAAATGAAGCCAATCGCTCGCATAAAGTCAAGAAAGAAAAATTCCGAATCTCCTTTATAGGTCTCTCGAAATCATGTCGGGCTTGCACAGTGTAGGATATTATCGAGTTCACGCTTCTCGGTTTCGTCTACGTCTGGCAAGATGGACAGTGTATATATGATACGGAGGAGCTAGGCCCCATAACGGAAGAACCAAAGCAAGCAGCAGGAATATTGTCTATGGTTGATTATTTAGGGAGCTGAATGGGTCTTGTGATATGAGGCTGGTGCAGATCAGGCACTAAGCCGCACCATCGGAACCGATCCCGAGGTGTCTATACAAAGAACCAAGTTGGTTGTAAATCCACTTAGACTTTGTGGTGTATATATAGCCTCATGTTTCCCTCTCAATAAAATAATTAATTATTCCTGTGAACTACAACATGGTCAAATGTTCGCCGAGAGTAGCTGCGCTAAAATCATCTTACGGCACGAGAGCCGCCAACTGAACAGAAGCAAATCAACGAAAATGAAGAATACATGCAAAGCTAGGAAGCGGAGGCAAATGCCTTTCAAGGACAGATCTTAGCTTCCTGAAACGATTTCTCGTTTGAGTAATGATCCCCAGCACCACGAAGAGGTGTCTGTCCAATTGCTGGAGGTAGGTGTAAGCCACCAGGTGATTGTGCCAGGTAGCAGCGACGAGCCGTGCAGGCTGTCACGCTGGAAGACAGGATCACCGGTGGAGTGTGCCAGGTAGCAGCGACGAACCGTGCAGGTTGTCACGCTGGAAGACAGGATCACCTGTTGATTGTGCCAGGTAGCAGCGACGAACCGTACAGGCTGTCACGCTGGAAGACAGGATCACCGGTGGAGTGTGCCAGGTAGCAGCGACGAACCGTACAGGCTGTCACGCTGGAAGACAGGATCACCGGTGGAGTGTGCCAGGTAGCAGCGACGAACCGTGCAGGTTGTCACGCTGGAAGACAGGATCACCGGTGGAGTGTGCCAGGTAGCAGCGACGAACCGTACAGGCTGTCACGCTGGAAGACAGGATCACCGGTGGAGTGTGCCAGGTAGCAGCGACGAACCGTACAGGCTGTCACGCTGGAAGACAGGATCACCGGTGGAGTGTGCCAGGTAGCAGCGACGAACCGTACAGGCTGTCACGCTGGAAGACAGGATCACCGGTGGAGTGTGCCAGGTAGCAGCGACGAACCGTACAGGCTGTCACGCTGGAAGACAGGATCACCGGTGGAGTGTGCCAGGTAGCAGCGACGAACCGTACAGGCTGTCACGCTGGAAGACAGGATCACCGGTGGAGTGTGCCAGGTAGCAGCGACGAGCCGTACAGGCTGTCACGCTGGAAGGCACAATCACCCTTTTATATCCATGTTCCTGTACGGGAGGGCTTTGGCTTTTATGTTCTTCGGACTGCGAACCTCAACAAAGACCATCTATCCAGTAAGTTTAGCACAGCATCCATTTGATAAACCAGGCAAATCTTTCTGCGGAGGCTTTAATTTGCTCGTCCATTGGAAATTGGCGGGGTGGACTACGCTGGGGCAAGGTGGTTGGCGTTTCTGGCATAGGTTGATTTTCGCCCCAATCTCACCAGGGTGGAGTTAGACCGTTCAGTTGTTTACTTTCCTGATTCCACCACACGACCGTCTCTATTTTATTATTCTATTACAAGCTTACATCTTCTTTTACCCGAGCTCTTTGCAGAGGCATGCTTATTTGCGTACCAGTTCAAAATCTTTGGGGTCTCTTTAATTTGAGGGTTCCGGAACGTCCGTCCCTTTCTTTACTTAAATGTGGGGGCGAGCTTTATTCATATGTCATTTTCCTAATATTTCATATCCACCAATAATATTCATACGAGCTTGCGAATGTTTAAAAATGTGGCGAAAAGGACCGTCTGGAGATTGCCCAACCTGGTGCTCATCGCTCCTTAAACTCCTTCTTAACCGTTTGTTGTTGACCATCTATTGTTGACCATCTGTTGTTGACCGTCTGTTGTTGACCGTCTGTTGTTGACCGTCTGTTGTTGACCGTCTGTGTTGAATATCACGGTCACTGAAATAGTCACGGGGGCCGGGACCACATGCATACATATATACCTGTCTACCAACCTTGTATCTAACATATAACAACACACAATCAACTCCCCTCAATAACATGAACACTGAAGCATCACTTATCAATCAACAGGTTATGAGCCCGGCACTGCTCACCTCAAATTGAAGATCGCTTCTTACTCCTAAGTTTCCCCATCAAGTGATAGCTTCATCTATTGACTGAATTGAAATTGCTCATTTAGTACTTCAACGAAGAGGACCTTTCCAACGACAAAGAGAAAAATGAATTGTGCGGACTCGTCTTACGAATCCTGACAAAAATCACACTGCTATATTTTTGTGAAACTAATCATAGTCAACAGTTACGTTTCACAACAGACAACAGACGTATCACATTACACCGACAGATAAAATAATCTGTTCTCTATAAAATGCTGAGATGCTAATTTTCCCTAAAAACCCCTGATCTTCTCAAAAGGGGGACAATCCGCTATTCTAACTTATGAAAAGAAAGCGTGGACCATATAACCAATGGACTGACAAGGAGCTCAATTTGGTGTGCTATCTTCGATGCATCCGCTGTTGGCACTTTTCAAAAATCCGAAAGGCGAATTTCCACTGCTTTTCCAACACGCAGTCGGCGCGGCCTATAGGCATTTAACTCCGGAAGAGCGAACGCGCCGGGCGCTCGCTGCTGTGCCCGTCATTGCCGACTCCCGGCGCACCACAAGACGCAACTCTCCAAGTCAAACGCAGCCGGTATTCTCCAATCCGGAACAGGGACCGAGTTACCTCAACTCAACAAACTCCGAGACTGGACTTACACCGTCGACCTCAATAGCAATACCTCAAATGGGTACAATCTCCGACCAAACAAACCAACATCTTTCGCAGAGCGAAAGCCACAATATATGGTCGACCGCGTCCATTTTCCTCACTTCTTCGAATCGTATAGCAATCATCTCAAGCCATAAGACCTACCAGACAGTGAATACTTTCCTCCGTCGCATACAACTACACCAACCTCCTCGGAGTATTCCCACTCCGTCAACTCTATTCAACCAAGCGAGGCCTCGAGCCTAGAGCTATTTGGTCTGGAGCCTCGATCTCCTGAACTATCGAACTATACGCCTTCTGTCCACTTGATCCGCTCGAGTGACGCGTCAAATACCTAATCCTTCAGCATCGAAGAATCCTGATTTTCCTCAGCATGGACTTGAATAAATGCGAACAGATAGGCTTGAGCTCATTCTACAATGCCACACCGACCCTTGGTAATGCCAACGACTGGTCTTAGTGGAACCAGAATGTCAAGAAGTTTCTTCGAATCTCCCCTGTGACTAGATGGAACGATCCCACCTTTGGAAAATAGGAGGAAGCACAGCAGTGGTCCCACCGCCAAACATTTCCCTCGTCAATGATCCGCGGCAAAGTTGACCCACAATGCGGCTCAGCGGATAATCGCCTTCGGAATCACTCGAGTACAATCACTGATCAAAGCCGTCAAAGAAAACTTCAAGCCGGAAGGTTCGGGAACATATGTGAATCTTCAGAGGAGGTACATGTCACTTACCCGAGCCAAATGTGAGAGTGCACAAGCCCTCGGGGCCGAGATCAGACAGATCCATGCCGAGAGACTTGTACTCGACTCCGCATGTGTCACTTCTGAAATTGAACGAACCTTCTTTTTCCTCCCTGCCTTAGGTCCAGAATATGAGAGCCTCCACGACCATGTCACTAGGCAAATGGACATTGAATGATAGAGATGAGGACGGAAATATCACTAAGGCAGCCCCTACATTCGACTACATTGAGAACAAGGCCATTGAAGAGGAACATAGGAAAGGACAGCTGGGCAATCATTCCGCAGATACAAATGCGATTCCTGCCTTCACAATCAGCCAAAACCTAGGAGACAAGAAAGTCATACCGTCTTCAGATGGGAAAACGTGCCGAATCGAGATCAACAATGTCCCATGTCCCTTTCTGTGTTTTCTGTCGCAGACCCTATCACAGGGAGTCCGGGTGCTTCAAGAAGAATCCCCACCTGAGGGGCCAAGAAAACCAAGAAAACGAGAGAAAGATGCGCAGATCAAGACCCAACGATGCATACACGGACCTTCGTAAGCCATCTAAGAGACGGGCTAGCACGAAGACGACCATTCAGAAGGACCGAGGGACCCCAATAAGACCGACTTTCTTGGCGACACAAGTTCCGAGAGAAGATACCAATGCAGCTTTTGGAGCGGAAGTCGAAGGAAATGTTGCCACCTTTGACTATATTCCCAGTATGACGACCACAAAACCTCTCTCAATCAGTGACACCTGGATCGTGGACAGTGGGGGTGCTCAGTACGTCTGTAGCAATACTTTGAAATTCGTCAAGATGGACAAATATGATGGTCCGCCGTTGA